TTCTCTAATAAATCCTGTCTCAGGTATCTCTACATCTCAGGGTAAGCTCCCCCCCCCCCTCCTCCCAAGAAAAAAAAAAAAAAAAAAAAAAATGGTTCAGGTAACCCGACTGACTTTTTTTGCTGGAAAAAAAAAAAAATGCCGACTCAAAAATATTTATCGCCAAATTCCTGTCTACCACAAATCTGAAACCCTGGTTTTTAAAAATCCTGCCAATAATACAACCCCTAGTGCCACACTGGCTAGATCTATAACTACCAAAGCACACAGCAAACCTCGTGCTGTTATTTTTCCAGTGTAATATTTAGGGCTGGGAGGCAGGGTTTAGATTGAGATGGTGTCCATGAACAGGTTTGTGAAATAAAATGAAAAAATCTAAAATATAAACAAAATCCCTACTGAGCAACCTACCTTCAGAAGGATTCGGTTACCTGAACCAAATTAGTAGTAGTTTGTTTTTTAACTCCTTTACTGAAAATCTAGCCTATGAAAGATGCTTGAAAGAAAATGTACCGTTTTTAAATACTGTTGTGTGTTACCGGACTTGTCTTATTAGTTTCTTGCGTGGATAGTATTATATTCTTCTAGAATTTAAACTTTAACTGTATATAATAGATAAAGACGACACTATTTGACCTCATTGGGCTAGTATATGTCAGCCACTAAATATGAAATGCTCAAGCTGCCAACAGTTTGAGTGCAGAGTGGGATATATATTAATGTTTACGTATACTACAGGTGAAATAATACCTACATTTCAGAATAGAACCTAATATATGCCCCATATGGTATGCTGATACAAAAAAAAGAAACATGCCTTTATTGATCCAGTTTTTTCTTTCAGGTTTACAATTATAAGTGTGTATATAATTAGTCCCAAGATATCTTATATGTATTATATTAACTCTATTATTTACATAGATAGTATGTTAGTATATTGTCCAGGGTGCATTTATCAATATTAGTATATAGAGGTCTTAGTCAGAAGGCAGATGTTTTTTGTAGGTAACAGTAGTATATCTCTACACCAAAAATGAATTTTTTGCATTACATGTTCTTCAAAATTTGTGTGTAAAAAGTTGGGATGCTTTCCGTTGTTGTTATTAGTAATTTGCTGTTTGCTCTGTGCTGGTCATGCTGTGTTTTAAAATGTCAGTATCATGGAAGTGCTGCATCATTGGAGTAGTGAATATAGGTTACTGTGGTGTTTGTACCAAAAGTTTTTTTTTCTGGTACTTATCATTGGGAAATTTCTGTAAAGAACTAATGGTTGTTTGTGTTAATTATAATCAGTCATGGTGCTATTATCAAATATTGCTTTCCAGTTATGGTTTTGCCTTGTTTGGAAAAGGCTTTTGAATTTTGCTAAGGATAACAGAGGTGTTGTCTTCTCCTTTTTTGGACATTGACCATACATTACCTGCTTTCACATCAACAAGACTGTGCAAACTCACTTTTATATAAATCTACATACACCTGCTTCTTTAATCACACTTACACTCGCGTTGACTTCATTTACATCAAAAGTAGAAATATTCCATAAATATCATATGGGTATTCTGTTATTTATGGTCTTCCAGTAGAGTCTGTGAGGGAATTGATACAACACTTGGTTTGCAGAATTTGTTGTGTTGCTCATGATGCCTAGTGGGTTCATCAAGAGCATCACAACAATCACATAGACCAGAACATGGGTATTAGGCTCATGTAAGCAGCCGCTGGGTGTGCTATGTTTAGGCCGGGCTAACACAAACACTCCTATGTGCTGACGGGACGTTATACCTGCCCTTTGCAGTGTTATTTTGCGTTTTTAGGTGTTTGTTATTTTCCAGTGTCCACATTTGTCTTTTGATTTCCTTTATCTTGCACAGATGCCATGTCATCTCTTTATGTAGTAAAACACTCAGTACAAGAAAAAAATGTATTTGTTATTTGTGTCATTTAAATTTTTTTTTCGTAATATTCAATTTTCTGTAATACAGCCAGTGCCCCCAATCATAGCGGCCAGGAATAGGACACTGAGTATAAAAATTTGATCTCCTAGGAGCCAGTGCTCTTCCAGTCATGGCTCGCAGACATATTCAACACAAAAGCCCCTTTCTAAACACCAAATGAGTTTAATTACCTGCCAAGAGGTTTGTGCACTCCTGGCGAGTCATATCTGTCGCTCTGGTTTTCACGCATGATGACAAGGTCACATCACCCGGCTCACGGCCATTTTTATCCATGACGACATGTTAACGTCACCTGCCCCTGAAGCCAAATTTCTTAATGACGTTATGATCATGTCACCTGGAACAAAGGGGTTAATTTCACACTTTAAAATTTGGCTGTTCTTGTTTGTCTAGAATTTCCCCTTTTTTAGCAAGTGTTTCCCCGTGAAGTGTTTGATTTTTCATATATTATACTTATTTTGGGTGCTGTGTTTGTATGTTGCTCTAGCAAGATAATTCTGCTTTGACTGTCATTTTAATTGTTGTCCAAATGTACTTCATTTATAATCTTCATTATAACATCCTTTATACTTATTCTTCCTTTGTGTGGGTATGTTTTTTTTTCCTTTAAACTTTAGCTGTGGTTAGGTTACTGTTACTTTTTAAGTTAATTTTTAAAAAGTAGTACTGCTTTCTTCTCTGTTTCTAAAGCCTACCAGTGAGACCTTTTCATAAATCGATGCCTCTCATTTTGATGTCACGTCACCTCCACCCTATTTCTTCTCTTTTCTGAAATATGTAGCAGTTATCTATCCTCACACTAACTCTTCTCCAGTGAACTCATTTTTAACCCAACGGTGCTGGGGAATTGCATTGTCTATTGTTGTGACCTTTATTGCTTAGCCACCAAAGGGGTAATCATTAAGCCTAAGTGTTCTTAGGTAATTCCCATTTCCTTGAGTTTACAAAAAACATTTTTTTTCTCTCAAGCTCTTGATATTGATGATGTTATTATTATTATTAACATTATAATCATTATAATGTTATTACCAATAATAATAACAATAAAGGATAAAAAAGAATCATTCTGAATATCAACAAGGTGAGGTTGGTACAACTAGTAATTGTCTCCTTGGTGAATAAGTACTTGTGGAGCCTTCTATGCGTAAAGGCAAGTAATAACAAAAAGACAAAGGACTTGGCACGCATTCTTGCCATCCCGTCAATGTTGGGTTAATGTTCTAATTCCTCTCACCAAACCCATGGCCTATATATCTATCATTCTGGGAAACATTATTTTTGACCAGTTTTATTAGATTCATTAACTCTTTACATGATGTTTTCTTCTTCTCAAGTGGTTTGGAGGGTTTCTCTTATAGTTCATCCAGTCCTTTTCTGCGCATTCTTCTTATGATGCTCATTTTTGTCTTTCATATTTCTATGTTGGAAAAGCTTCTTTTTTATGTAGATGACCATTGCTGTCAATGATTATATCATAGCTACTGTTTACACATGTCACACATATTCATGGTCTTTACTGTGCATACCTTCTTTGAGACTTCTGTCCTGTTCCTACACCTTTTCTTACTTTTATACTATGAATACACCTTTTCTTATGGTTTATGAGCTATAGTTATTTTTCTCTGACAACACTGATCTCTTTTTCTTGATGTTTGTGTTAACACCATGCTTATGTTTACTAGAAGCATTTGATTTTTTAAATCCACTCTCTAACTTTACTTTTTTATTAGTTGCCCTCATACTTGTACCCCCATTTTTTTGTGTCCTCCTGTCCGTCTCTATACTATCCCTAAAATATGTTCCCCCTCTTTCATTTCTGCTATTCCTGAATCCATTGCCTGTGTTGGGCTGCCTTTGGTGTGGTGGTGCTACTGCTGGTGGTGTGTCCTCTCCTGGGGTCTGTGTGTGTGGACAGGGTGGGGAGCTTTGGGAGCTTGAGTGGTCGGTGTTCACCACGCTGCTCCCCCCTTCTGGGACGCTCCCCACGCTTCCATCGGCGCACAGCTTCAGATGCCTCCTCTGCCTCTCTTCAGCGGCGGCGTTCGTCTCCCACTCCGTACGTACACACAGCATGATGCACACACCACCCTCTTGCCATCCATCTCCAAACATAACACACAGTGCTTATATAGATGGTATTGTTGTGACTTTTACCATCATTTTTATTTTGCTTGTGGTTCACCTCTTAGTTTGTTTTTCTGTGAAATTATTACTGGAGTAGAAGTATGATGAAACGTACAGTATATCAGATGTGAGTATATTGTAAGCACCAAATTGAATGTAACCCTTTTTTTGTAAAAATGTATATAAGTTTTTCGATGTTCATAAGCTTGAGAAGTGATACTGAACACCAGAAATAAAAATGTAACTATGAATGTGATATATTTATATAGGCATTAAAATCTGATGATGGGTTTGTAATTATACATTTAGTCTGTGCATGGAGGTTAAATGCAAAAGCTTCTGAGAAAGGAAGTGTTGTCTTTTATTTGTGGTAAGAATATAATCACATATTATTTTGATATGTTAGATAAGATTTTTTGTCATTAATTTTAGTAAGTATTATTTTACTGTGATAAACAGAAAGGTTGAGACAGTATCTGTAACACTTGAGAAAATTGTAAGAGCTTGTCTTATTATTCTTATGTAGTGATAGTTAGAATGGATTTTTTTGTAGAATATATTAGAATAGAATGAAATGTAGCATTTGCCTTTGTAGTCCTTTTTTGTGCTTTTTAGATATAATTTTTTGAGCACCAAGTACCTAGTACATGTATTGGTACAATGTCTCTTTTTCTGTGTAATGAATGTTTTAGTTGTCACTGGTAAAAAAATCAATATGTTTAGATGCTTCCATAGAGTCTTATGAATTTTTTCAATTGGTACCATTGGAGTCAAGCAAGCAGAGAAATAATGACATGAAACATTTTTAGGTTTTGGAAGTAAGTATGAATAAGGTACTTTCTAACAAAGTTTGTATTCTCTTATCGTTGTGTTCTAGTTATCTTAATCAGCAAGCATTATAAGAAAACTTCCTACTTTCAGCACACGCCTAGGGTCACCTTCATTGCGATCATCATCACCTTCTTTGAGGATCCGCACAGCACCACATTCTCCAACCCCAGGAACAACCCAGGGAGTTAGTGGAACTCCTCCAAGTAGCAGTGCTGTCCAGCCATTAGTTCCTTCCTCACCAGCAGCTGTTGCAGCTAGCCATTGTTTGCCTGATGTGGCAGGGACGACAAGTTCCAAGTCATCATCACTTGCATCTGAGACTCCTGTTTCTACTCCGACCCCACCGCCACATTCCTCACGCATTGGTAAGTCAGTGTAGTATCTTAGCAGATGAATGTTGTTGGATTATATGAATCTTTGCTTATGTAAAAATCTTGATTAGTGGGATAGTTCAAATAGTTGTAATTCAGAATTAGGCTTTGAGATGTACAATTTTAGAGTCTAAAACTTGGATATTCTGATGTTTTTTTGGACAGATTTTTGTAATAGAATTCATGTGTTTTTTTTTTTTTTATTTTTTTTTTTTTAACATAAAAAACTTTTTATTCTGTTAACAGGTGTTACTGGGTATGACTCTGAAGTGAGTGATGATGATGAAGCAGGTGGCGACGGTGACCTTGGTGAAGTTGGTGATGGACAAAGGTCTGTCATCATGCACATCATATCTCAGCTGCGACTTGGAATGGACCTCACACGTGTCACACTGCCAACATTTATTTTGGAGCGTCGTTCCCTGCTGGAAATGTTTGCAGACTTTTTGGGACATCCTGACTATTTTGCTAAGTAATAAGCACATGTTTTTTTAACCAGTTGATTAATAGGGTTGATGTATATATTTTTACTGAGAGGATTTACAACTGCTGTTGGAACATAAATGAGATGCTTATTTGGGTTTGGTACAATGGAAGGGATATTTGCAAAAGCTTAGTATTTATTTTTTCTTGATAGGGGACTTTGTAGTAATAGTAACATGTACTTTCAGAATTGCTGATGCAACAACACCAGAAGATCGCATGCAGGCAGTGGTTAAATGGTATTTAACAAGCATTCATGTTGGACGAAATGGATCTGTTGCTAAGAAGCCTTACAATCCTATTATTGGGGAGACATTCCATTGTAACTGGCGAATTCCAAGGGATTCCATCCATGGGGAAGTAAGTGTTCTGGTTAGGAAGAAATTAATAGAAACTATCCAGCAAAACTCTTTATTTTGATTTTGTTATCTGTACATTAATGCACTCAGTCATTTTAGTTAAACTTTTGTGTAAACATTTCTCTTAATTTCTGCATGTAAACTTACCACAGTGCGAATTTACAAAGGAACAACTTCATTTGTCTTTAAGTAGCATGGTACTACATGAGATGTGAAAAGGTAAACTTATGTTATGGGACTCATAAATTCACCTTATTGGTAAAGATATTGGAAAAGAAAACAGGTACAGGAATTTGTAGAGGAAAGACAGTACCAATCTGATTTGTTTGTATTGAACGCTATTTTGGCAAGAATTTGTTTTAACGGTTGCTCTTATGGAAAGGTGATACTTTATTATCTTCGTTACTGTTCATCATTAATTTTGTATGAGATATAATGTTATTTTTCATATTTTCCAAAGGAGATAGGGGAGACTGGGAATGGGAAAGCTACTGATGGAAAGAAGTCCCCCTTTGTCAACATCAAATATGCAGCTGAGCAAGTGTCTCATCATCCACCAGGTTTGTTACTTGTTTTGTTGAGATAACATGGTGATGATTCAGATAGTAGTAGGTTTGCAATTATTTTTTTGTGTTTGTGTTATGGTAATTTTGATTTTTTTCCTCTCTCTCTCTTACTCTTTACAGTGTCTGCTTTCTTTTTTGAGTGTCCGGAGAAGCAGCTAAGTATAAACGCTCACATCTGGACTAAGTCAAAGTTTATGGGTATGTCTGTTGGAGTTAATTTGATTGGAGACATTACCCTCATCATAGGCAATGTCCGTGAAAGCTATAGTCTTGCCATGCCATCTGCATATGCAAGAAGCATACTGACTGATCCATGGGTTGAACTTGGAGGTCGGGTAAACATTTCTTCACCTGAGACAGGCTGTCAGGCTGCTATTGTCTTCCACACTAAAGTAAGTTTTGATATGAATTGCTGTTGATATTATTATATATATGGATGAAATATTTTGAAAGAAGATTCATAGTTTTAATCTTAATCTATTGTAGTAAAAAGGAAAATTTTTAGTATATAGATAAAGATTTATATATATCTATTTTTAACGTAACCTATTTCAGCCATTTTACGGAGGACGTCTACACAGGGTGACAGCCGAAGTGAAAAACGCAGCTGGAACTACTCTGACCAAAGTACAGGGAGAATGGGATTCACAGCTGGAATTCACTTATGCTAATGGATCTCAGGAGGTATTGTGAAGATCTCTTTTGGTTTAATGTGTATTTGTAGATAATAGGAGATGACTAGAATAATCTGATGTCATTCATCTATTTTTCTCTAAGTTTCATCATTGAAATAGGAAAATTATTTTTGTCTCAACAAAATGGTATAAAGGCATAATATCATAGAGTAAGTTCACAATTTCAAATTGGTCCAAACACATTTATGATCTGTTGCATACTAACTTTCATCATAATTTATGGCAAGAGTAAGCAAGAAAGTGATTGCTTCATGCTTAAAATAAAAAAACATTTATGTATTTTCAGGTTGTGGACGTAAATGACATACCAATTGTTTGTCACAAACGCTTAAAGCCTTTGGCGCAGCAATCTCCAATGGAATCTCGCCGCCTGTGGCACGACGTAAGTGTAGCCCTTGCTCGTGGTGATGTCGAAACAGCCACAAGCCACAAGAGGGCTCTAGAAGAGCAGCAACGGAAGGAAGAACGAGAGCGTGCTGCCCAAAATGTGCCATTCCCAACACGACTATTCCATTCTCCAACTTCTGATCATTGGGTGTACAACCAGCTTCCAGCGTATTCGTTTACTTCCTGCCCAGCATCAGTCCAGCCTCAGTAACAACATGCTGTTTATGCTTGTTATTTTACCATTCTATTTTTTTTATTTTTACTCCATACCATGCCAAAGATTTTAGAACGAGGATGTATAAATTTCTTGTTAATCTCTGAAAAAGAATATGGTCTATTTTCCTAACAAAGTTGAAAATTCTTCTAATTAGGAATAGATTTTCTTAGATTTTCTTCGGGATAAATGATTTTCGGATTTAACATTAACAAAATTTTGTGAACTTTAAGTAGCAGTAGCTTGAGATTTCCAGTTACTCTTCCTGTAATTTTTGCTTCTGCATTTGGAATTTCACACTTACTTAGAAAACATGTTTAAAGTCATACTATTTTTTCCACGCTCTCTCCTTCTCCCTCTCCCATTTCCTCTTCCTCTTCCTCCCTCTCTCCTTCCTTTTGCTGTTATTCCCTATCCTTTCCATCTTTATGCCCTCTGGTACCCATTCTCCATTTCTTCCCCTCTTTTTGCCTCCCTTTGCTTACTCTTCCCTTCTTTCCTCTTTCCCTCCCAACTCTTGCTCTCCTCTCCTCTCCATTCCAACAAACTGCTATAGAGTCACAGGTGCACATTTATAGATATCTGTATATCCACTTGAATTCATCAGTCATACATATGTGGCCACATGTGATAAAAGTAGGCTAGAAAGATGAATGAGAATTGGAAGATCTGAATATTCTATAGAGCTTAGAGTTTCTGACCAGTAGTTCCTAGTCAAAATACAAACTGGATTAAACACTTGCTTTACATTTTGGTGACTACAAGCCACATTCAGCTGTAGAGAACCTGGTCAAGCAATGCCGCTTTTCTGCTGAACATTATTACCGTCCAATAAAGATACAGGCATGTAGCATTGAATGTAAAATTTCCATATATTTTCAGTCATAAAAGATAGTAATGGCAGCTCATTTTGGCAAGATAAGATCTTCATTGTCTTTATTAACTAATATAAATGTCAACATCCATTTTAACAATGTAAAGGCAGGCAAGGAAAAATCTTTTCAGTGAAAGCAAATGAGAATATTTATTGAGTTCTGATGTTATTTACTGGGTTGGTGCTTCAGATAATGAATTTTTCGAATTTGGTTTTAATCTTATAGTTTGATGAGATGGGATTTGATTGGTGGTGGTGAGTGTAATGCATAGCACATTATCTTCTAATTAAGATTTTATTTCTTCCTGATTCACAATATTAGCCACTGACTCTTTCTTCGTAATGTCAACAAGATTTATCTTCTCTTTGTGAAGTACACTTATTTAACTTCTCAGTCACAATTGCAGTATTATTTTGTAGTACTTTTTGATGTTGTAAATCTTGAAAGAAACTGGAAAGGCTGTGGTGAATGCAAGTGAAATGTCAAGAAAACTTGGACTAATTTGCCTATTCATATTTGTATTTTCACCTTATTGCATTGACATTTTTAGTAATTTCCATAGAGATATAGTACTAATTCAGATATGATAGAGAGATCACACATGTCCTAAGTGAATGTGTATCTAGCAAACTTACAGTGTATGAAAAAAGCATTCTTTTTTTGTGTGTGTGTGTGTATGTGTATTACAAAATATTGAAAGCCAGTGATAAATTACGAATTTGCAAGAATTTCAGTGAGGATCCATATTAGTATAAACTTTGATCAAAAATGGATTATTCTGTACAAGAGATATACAGTTAATGGATGAATAAAGATCAGAAGACTGGAAAGTGTGGCTGGAAAGGTTTGGCAAAAGAGGATTCATTGTGATTGATATCTGCATAGAAGACAGACTTTTAGGATATTTGGCTTCAAGGAAAAGCTGAGCAGAAATGAATGAATACAAAGCTGTCATTATTACAGTGTACTGGACTGAGCTCTCATTATTATTTAGAATACAATAAAGTTTCAACAAATATCTGATGCATACTCGTGTAGGAAATATATGAATGAGAAGTGCATACAGGGGTGTATGTACTTCTGAATATATAACTCAGAAGTGTGAAGATTTTAACTGTCATTCATACCTTTTCTGCATTTGCCGCAATCAACTCTGTTTATGCATATTCTTGTGTGTTGTGGGCAAATACGACACTGATGTAAATTAGATTTAGATAAATTGAAATTGTTAATTGAATGAAGGTGCTACTTTGCATTGATTTTGTTTAACAGATTATTCATGTTAGATTGATACTACATTCTTTATTTGCATTTAAGTAGAATATAAATAAGTATGAGATGTTTGGTTGTGAGGGAACTAAAATGATTGATAGAATAGTGTGTATATAAAGTGGGCAGTGCCTCATAGAAATAAAGATGCGACTTTGATCATTATTGAATGAAAAGGAGTGTTTTTCATGCCATTATGTTTAAGGAACTGCATCCTAGATGTTGAGCTCTGAGCATTTTTAAAATAACTATATTTTATTTGTTATTTAATTATTTTTGTGTACCATGAATATGCTTTGTTTACATTTTTTGAAGTGTTGCTCAGATATTAGTAGAGATATTTGCTTAGATTATATTATATTATGATTTTGTCAGTTTAACAATATTTGTTTGTTTTTAAGATTGTTGTTATGATGATATAAATACCCGTAAGTGGGATGTCCTCCCTCTTGACATTTAAATTATATAATGTAAAAAAAAAAAAAATCTTACTGAGACACTTGTATATATAAAATGATTAATAGATGTACCAAATATATGCAAAGGGACAAAAGCAATTATGAAAATTCAGATTTCGTGTGTAATAATACCATTATTATTTTTATCTTAGCATTTAACGCTCAGTAAGGTAAATTTCCTTAGTGAAGTCCAGGGATATACTTAATAAGTAACTGCATTATTGTGAAATTTGTAACTATCAAGAAAAAAACATTTGAAATTGTTGTTTTGATACACTAATGTATTAGAATTTCTGGTCTGTACTTTCAGAAATTGTTAAAAAAACTTTCGGCCAGTTTGTTAAAATTGTGCGAGGCCCGACCCAATGAATATTCATGAATACGAACATGCTTATTCACGGAAGTACATGCATATTTGTTTATTTATCTGATAGATATACATTTTCCTATCTATCTATCCAGTAGATAAGCATGTTGTTACTGATAGATCTGTAAATATTTCTGTGTATATGCATGTCTAAATAATGAAAATTCATTGTCAGGCATCACACAATTTCAGCAAATCAGCTGTTTAACACAAGTTACTGAGCAGTTGGTAATGAATATTTTTGCTTGAAAGAACTGCAATAGAGATTATGATATTGTAATTGTATTTGAGATGTGAAATATGATTATTATGTGATATGTATGCATGCATGTGATTTGCTAAATATTTTTTGTTTTTTGTTAAGTGTCAAGAGATGCCTTTGAAATTACCTGTAGCAATAGTTTGTATTGTATTATTGACCATAATCCAGTTGATGAAAAAGTGGTCATACTTGACCACTCTTAATATTACATTTCTTTCATGTCTTATCAGGTTGTTTTATTCTGCATCTCTGAAGATTTAGTTAAGTGAAGCATATATTTATATTCCTCCTTGCAAGTTTGATGTATGTTATTTTCTTGAAATAGTACAATTAAATAAAATGATACTCACAATTACTCACAGACAGCATTCATTCCCTTTTTACTGCATTCCCATATTCATATATTTAACACTCTAGTTCCATGATTCTTATCTTTCCCTTGCTCTCTATATCATTTAAACTTTGTCCTGTTTGCAGTAAAAATGGAGATCACTGATGATTATCACAAAGAATATAGTAATATTTACTTGTGTTTGGTAAAGAAGAGGTAATCACACATAGTAAAATTGTTTTTTAATTCTTTTTCCTCCTAGTGGAATATGCTAAATTTAATTATATGTTTAAATAGTTTGTTGGAGATGAAGCACAAATATGAATGAAGAAACAAGTACTCTTCCAGATATACCTCATATACGATGTAACAGCAATTATGTTCTTCTATTGAGCTTGAAAAATTTACTTGCTGTCGCATTGGTACTTGAAATAGTCATAACAGGGTCTGTGGAGAACTTTTACGTAATCACTCGTCTCCTGCCTGGGCTTTGTTATTTACTACCATAAGAAATAGTGTTATGTGAGGTACTCGTACACTGCCAGGCTGTCATTGCATTTCTCGTATTACCATGAAAAGTTATTGAAAAGTTACTAGGTTTTATGATGCCAAGGAATGGATTAATATCTGCATGGTATTTCTAAATATTTTGAAATGTTGCAAAGGGACAGGTATACTGTATACCAAAATAATTTTAAGCATCTAAAGGTGATTATGAAAATTAGGCAAAATCAGCTGTATGACCTTTATGGAAACTGCAAAGGGTCAAATTTTTATTGTGTAGGTGAAGAGATTGGATAGTTCTAAATCGATTTTTTATTGTGCTTGCAGCTTTAAGTGAAAAGTTTAAGATACAAAGATCATATATTTTGCTAAAGTTCAGATGAAATGTAGAATAAGAAATATTAAAGAGAACTTTGTTGCACATATTTTTTTTTATATTTCTTTGTGCATTATTAGTATTAACATTCAATTAAAATCAATACATAACTCTCTGGGTTTTCACAGCATCATACTTTACCCTAGCTCTGATATTCATACAGTTGGTGAAATTGTTTCCTTTGATTGCTTAGAAGCTTCGTCCATGGAATTATCAACTAGAAAAGTAGTAATGTGTCTTTCCTTACATTTTAGAGGTCCTTCTGCATTTCATATCTTTCAAATTTAACACCATTTTTGTGTCCTGTTTTCCCCTTTTCTCTCTCTCTCTACATGCTGTGTAGTATAGCATATATCATACATCTTCTGTTAAGCATAGCTGCATGTTAAAACATTTTTCACAGCATATTCCTACTTAGGTATATGTTCATGAAGCTTAATAAAATATCCTAATAACCACCTTTAGTTTACTTTATCTTTGATATATATGAGCAAATTTATCTGCCGTCTCTTGAGTCTTATAGTCTGAAAGTTTTTCAAATACAGTCTAGAATTTTGAATTTGATTTAGTATTTGCTTTTCATTAGTTTCTCCAATTTTTAAACTATATTAAAGTTTAAAAAATTGTTTCAAAGGATATTTTTTATTCAAAGGAAAATATTTATTTCAAGAGACCTGCAATATCTTGAACAAATGAAGTAATGTTAAAGGAGAAGTGAAGCAAATTATGGACGAGTTATTACTTTATTACGTGGAGATATACAAGTGGTATCAATACCAATGTTCACATTCTTGACGTAAAAACCCTGGCTATAAAATACCTACTGCATTTCTATTTGGTTCGTTGTGGTTTAGCTTTAAAATGCCTTTAATTTTTTACTTCTTTTCTCACGTTGGAAGTTCCAGAAGTTAGAAGTTCGTGACGCCGGTATGCCAATAGTGATGCATGCGGGTCTCCAGCTCAAGTGAATCCAAAGCTGGTCGCTCCTGCATTTCTGTCGCCAGGTCGGGTTGAACTAACGGGTAATGAGAGGGTCTCGGGCGGTTCTGTTGATAGTACTTGAGATTCTGTAAGCTCCCAAATCGGCGGAAATTACTCTCGTTTTTGGAGGCGTTGCTTCTAAATCGTTGCAAGGTGCTAAATTTACTCGTCGTGGCACTCAATTTGCTCTGGATGAGACGGAAGGTTCCTCGACCCAAGCGGGACTTGCGGATGGGGTTGCGCTGGAAGTGAGTGGTCGCGTCGGGTTCCGCAGTCGACGCCGTGACCAGGTCGGGAGCGGACGCGGTCGGAAGGGGACTACAGCGTGAATTCGACCGGGTCAGGGTGTCCAGTTCACGCATGAAGAGGAGCTTGGCGTTGCGGGCCAGAAGATACTCCCAACTGCGGAACTGCTCCTCCGTAACCTGGCGAGATAGTGAGCGGATGAACAATTTGAAAATGTGTGATATATTTTAAGATTAGTAAATGTGTCATATATTTAAAGATTAGTAAATGTGTGATATGTTTAAAGACTAGTAAATATGTCAGATGTTTAAAAAATAGTAAATGTGTGATATATTTAAGGATTAAGGATAATATAGTTATATTAGTAGCAATTTGTGAACACTAATGATACTACTGCAATGATAAATAACGACAGAAAATAACAAAAACAATCAAATGTAAATGGCGGTTTGACGATGATAATTATAGCAATGAAAATTATAGTAATGGCAATAATAATAATAGTGCTATATGACCCCTGATGTCTAGTACATTTATTGGTTAAACGCATTAACCATTAATAATAATAATGATGATGATGATGACGATAAAATAATTATAATAATAATAATAACTAATGATGATGATGGCAATAATAATAATAATAATAACTAATGATGATGATGCCAATAATAATAATAGTAATAATGATAATAATAATAACAATAATAGTAATAATAATAACAATAATAATAGCTAATAATAATAATAATAATAATATAATAATAATAAATAATAATAATAATAATAATATAAAATAATAACAATAATAATTATAGCAATAACAGTACTACTACTACTACTACTACTACTACTACTACTACTACTAAAAATAATAACAACAATAATAATAATAATTATAACAATAATAATTAATAATAATGATAATGAAACTACTACTACTATTATTATTAATAATAATAATAATAATAATAATAATAATAAAAGTAACAGCAATATCACGAAGAAGAAGAATAGCAATATCAAAAAATATATGATAAGGCACAATAATAATATTACCAGTACATTAATAATACTACAACTGTACTGCTGTTGCTACTACTAATAATATTCATAATCAATTATTATTACTATTATTACTTTTATTAATACTACTAATACTACTGCTACAATAATAATGATAATGATGATGATGATGATTATATTAACAATACGAACAGTAATAATAACAATAATAATTTTGATAATGATAACGGTGATGAATATGAATATGATGATGAATATAATGATAATGATGATGATGATGATGAATATGATGATGATGATGATATTAACAATTGTAACAATAATAACAATAGTAATTTTGATAATGATAACGGGGATGAATATGAATATGATGATGATGATGATAACAATGGAGACAAGAAGAGGTTAACTAATTACAAAACTAATTATATCAACATAGATATAAAAAACTGCATATAGAAATTCAAATATTAATCTACAATAACAGTGAAAAATACATAAACGTTCACTTTCGTCGCAAATGTCCTCTGATGATGCAGGCCTTTTCCCCCTACAATGAAAAGGCGTCGAGTGTATCCTACCTGTTCAGGATCGTTCCCTAGGATATTATCCTCGGACTGAGCGTGCTGCAAGGGACTCGTCCGCTGGTGTCCTCCGCTCACGCCACTGAGCCCGCTATCACTGTCCTCCGAGTCGCTTCCGGTGTCAGCGAAGCCAGCAGGGGGCGCTAGAACGCCGTCGTCGAGGTCAGTGTTCCCCATGCCGAGCAGGTGGGACGCCAGGTGGTTCTGGGGAGAGGGCTGCGAAGGGTCTGGTCGAGGGTAGTGGTAGTAGGTGACTGCTTGCTGGACGGTGTTCGTCTTCGCGGGGTCTGGCTTCGATCCCGACTCGGTTTTGGGTCCCGTTTCCCGTTTTCTTCGGTTGGGTTTGGCGTAAAGGTCCTCGAGGTTGGGTCGCAACGCTCGGGGTTTGGGAGGGACTAGGGATTCAGGCGGTTTGGGTCTGGTGTTGGGTTTCTGGATGTCGGAGTCGTGTTCGCTGTGGTCGCTTTGGCTTTGTCCGCTGGGCGACGAGCGGTCCATGTCTTCGATGTTTTCCACGAGATTCCTCTCTGAGCGGCTCTTCGTCTTCAGCACAGCACTGACCACCCGGCTTTTATTCGCGTCGTGACGTAGGGGCGAACTCGTGCTTTTTTTACTATGACTGCTCGACCTCAGTTTCCTTCTGTGGTCATCGTTTTCTACCGTGCTGGTGGACACGTCTACAGCACTCGTTTTTCTGTTGAGCTGCATTCGGTTGACCAGAGCATCTTCATCCACAGAATTCCGTCTGTGGAGCGCACCGTCAGTACTGAGTAATTCAACACTTTTGGACTTTGATCTACTTGAGCTTAACTGCGCGCTCTCTACGGCCGAGCGTCCCTGCCACTTGTGGTGCGCTGGCAGAAGGCGCACGACGATGACACTAAGGGCCTGGCGGGTGCCGTATCCCTGTGCCAGGTCCAGCAGTCGCTTGGCTGCTTTGCCTGGATCGGTCATCTCACTGCACACGTTCGCCACTTCATCTGTCCCGATAACGTCCCAAAAACTGGAATAAGAGAAAGTATTTCTTAGATTATGATTACTTTACCTATGTCGGTTTCATTGCCATATTTAAGTTTATTGAATGACTGAACCCGCCCACAATAATACCTGATATTCTGTCAAGAGTTGATAATATTATGGGTTGTATTTACTGAACCATATACAAAATCAGTTGAGTAGGTCAGGTAATATATCTTTATATTGTATATTTTAATTGGATAGAATCAACTGAATTGAATCAATCGGTTGAATAGATCAGGTAATACATCTTTTATATTGCATATTCCAACGAATCTTCTCTTTCGCTTTGACCTACAACAGAGTCCACTGCCTCACCTCGCACTCCCAATCACAACAGCGGTGTGATGTGGCCCCAGGTACAACTCTGTCGTGTGTGGATCGGGCAAAGTGACGGGCTCACCCAACGCACACTTCACGCCGTCATCACAGCTTCTTACACAGTTCTGAGGGAATGTGACGTCTAATTAGTGAAAGCTTGGCCAAACTGCGAGGTAATCTTGGTTCGGAGTTACGAAGTACAAGATAAATGTTTTTTCTTTCTTTCTTTCTTTTTTGTGTCTAAGAGGACCCACCTGTTGCGTTCGAGGAGACGATGTTGTGACGAAAATGGGTTCCCCGTGCGTCGTCGTCACAGCGGCAGAAACAGCACCGTAACAGCAGAGGCGGAGGACAGGGCATCGGGAAGACTCGACGCCCTCGAGTTCTAAGTGAGCGGCACACACTGCACTAGGTAAGGGAGCTCCCTGGGACCGCAGTCGTCTATAATAAGACAATCATTAACATCCTCGCAACATAAACTAACAATAACATTTTACAAAAAAAATACTGCATGGAGAATAAGAAAATCGAAAATTCACTTCAACAGTGTAACTGAAAAGAGAGAAAATTACCTCAGGGCGGTAAGAAGCGCATATTTAAGAGCATAAGTGTGCGAGCGAGAACAAGCTCTTTCCTCCTGGAGTAACGCGGGGAGTGCGGTCAGGAGGCTTCCGACGCACCCTACTTCTTGGCCTCCGTCTGCCAAGGCCGCGACACCGACACGCCCTTCGCCCGCTATATCTGGCATCCTCAGCTGGCCTACAGTCAACCTGAAATAAATGCAAAACACTAAAGAAATCCTATCGAACACATGTCATTTCGGAAACACGTCTGTACCAATACAACTTTTTAGACACAATGGCTTTACGATATAGCTTTACTTACTTTGAGTCTCTGCCAATGGTTTCAGCGAAGCCTAACGTCCAGGGCAGCTTGGGGAAAGCGTCGCCCTTTCCTCTGAAGCCTGGGTCTTGGGACGACGCGAGCTGAGAGGCGTGGGGCTTGGTTAAGGGCAGGGACCGCCCGGAACGACTGGTGACATCGACTACGTTTACTGGCCGTCGAGACCTGTTGAGTGAGTTTGGCTTTAGTGGCTTATAACATGGGTATTAAACGGTCACGTGGCTTTATTTGTAGGTATTTACAATATGTACACACGCACAAACACATACATACACAGATACATATGTATATATGTACCCATACATATGCAGTATTGGTGACTCAAACCTACTTGCACTTTGTAAACTGATGGTGGTCGAGGGAAAGCGCTGTGTTGGCCG